ATATGTATATGTATATGTATATGTATATGTATATGTATATGTATATGTATAAAAAGAAAAACCTAATTTACTTTTGCTGCCTGTCCTCCATCCTAGCTCCTCCCCCCCACAAATTATATTAGAAGGCTATTAGCAAATTACTTACTAATATTTCAATTCCTACAGCATACATTATTAAGAATCCAGAAAACTGAGTCCGCTGAACATTCAAGAGAAATGTGACCAATACATGGATAACAGGGTATCTAGGGGAAAACATTATTATAAATAAATTTCTTATTAGACCAAATAAGCTGCATTAAAAATAAGAAACAAAAGCGAAGCAACGTTTCCTAATTGAGAGGGATGGTATATTATAGCATAACCGGAGGTCTCTAGATTGGGAAGACTGAATTAAAAAATGAACATGAACAGATTTCTCCAAGATAGTTAAATTCATATCTGCTATATTATCTCTGCCAGAAATTCCCAACTTTCGGGTTTATGGTGCCCCCTAGCGTCAATAATTTTTCAACGTTGTCTCTAGTGGCTCTCAAACCTTGTGCTACGGCATCAGAGCGCACTACTGTGAACTTGTTACTAGTTCGGTTTCTTAAATAGTAAAATATCCTGTGAATTCCAGGGTAGAACAATGTCCTGTCTGGGAACTGCAGAACTATTCCATCAGTATCCGCAAAAGTACATTTCATAAAATTGAATCACTTATGAAATCTGCTTGTTACAGAATGCACAAAAGGCACCATTTCCTAAAATGAGTCAGGGAAAAAAAACACCTCCACAATCATTTTTTTTTTAACCTACAGAAGAATGGAATTACTCTTACTCTTAGTTTGCTGCATATTCTGAAGTAAAGTCAGCATCCCTAACTTTTGAAAGAGACAAAGTGAGACTCAAGATCAGATGTTATTGATCTACCGGTCTTACCTTCCTTCTGCTTCATATATGTCAGCCATCCCTTTTTTTTTCATTTTCTTGCTAATAAAAGTCTGTGTGAATCTACTATAAATATGCATTTTTTAAAAACCTCACAGAAACCCTAGCATCCACCACTTCACATACTAATCTTGCATTTTGAAAGCAGCATATACTGAATGTGAAGGGTTTTAGAAAAACACAAAATGAAATGAGAAAACCCAAATGCCTTCAAATCCAGGAACAGGGATACATTCTTGCCTTTTACACACACTTCCCTTTTACACACACACACACACACAGAGAGAGAGAGAGGGAGAGAGAGAGACAGACAGACAGACAGAGACAGAAAGAGAGAGACAGAGGCAAACTGATT